GTTCTTTATTTCATCAAGGATCTGCTCAGTTCTAACACCTGGAGCTGCTCAGCCTGGGATGTGGTGGGGCACATCTTCAGGGAGTTCAGCCGCGCCACAGGAAGAAGGGTAAGGACAGTGGGCAGCATCTTCTTTTGGAAGACCCGTGCTGCTCGGAGGGTGGCACAGAAGCACTGCTGGGGCCACACCTGAGCCTCCAGAGAGGCTCCAGAGAACTGAGCATAACCAATGTTTCAATACAACTGTCGTGCAGGCAGCCGGAGACCTTTCTGCCCGGGAAGCCCAGGAAGAAGGAGCTCTCCAGGAGCTGTGCGTGGACATCCTGGGATCACTGGACGTCTCTGTGAGAGGGATGTCCAAAGTAAGTCACGCTCTGCCCTGCTGCTGCTCCCTGCCCTTGCACCACGTCTTCCTCGTCCCATTCCAAGACCCCAGCTCTCTCCTCCAATGTGCTCTGAAGCACACAGGACTCGGGGAAATTCACAGAGTCCTCTTCATCTCTGAGCAGAGGCAGGAATGCTGACCTGCTCAACTGCCTCGTTCCCTACAGCTCCTGTGGCCGCGGCTGCTGTTGTTTGTGGTGCCAGCACAGTACACAGGCATGCTGATCCCAGTCTCCCGCTGTGTCTGTGCCCTGGCTGAGAGAGAGGAGCTGACAGGACGGCCGATAGAACACCTGGATCCCCATTTTGTCAGCTCCATGTTTCAAGGTAGGAGCAAAAACTCCCCCAGTGAGCTCTGCTGACCTGTGGTAGCACCCAGAAGGGACAGCGGAGGTGTGCATGGCTGGGCACGCAGTGTCTTGGAGTCTTACTCAGCACTTTTTCCTCTTTGCAGGCCCACTGCTGACGCCCCACATACTGCTGGCACGACTCCTGGTGAGTAGATGCTCCAGAGGCCGGTGCCACGAGCAGCCAGGAGGAAGCAGCGTGGCCATGGGCAGAGCTGTCGGCTGCTCCTTGCCTGCCAGAGCAGAGCCAAGCTGCTTCCATCCTGGGGGGAAGCCGTTGCTCTTGCTGCAGAAGTGACCCTGCTTTTTCTTGCTCTCGCTCAGGTGGTGGCAGGCAGCCCTGTTGCAGGCAGCAAACTCCAAGCTGCTGCCTTACTGCTGATGAAAAACCTCCACAGCAGGTTCCACAGAGCTGTGGGGGCCATGTGGGCTACTGAGATCCCCCTGCTGCTGCAGTGTCTTGAAGGTAAAGTACTGGAGGGGAAGAAGAGGCAGAGGCAGGGAAGGGGGGGAGTGAAAATGCAGCTCTGCAGAGTGGCAGAGGGGAAGCACTGCCTGCAGCCCAGTTCTTGCTCTGCTGCTGCTCCCATTGCTGGGAGTCAGCACTGAGGCCCAGGGACCTATCCCACCAGAGATCTGCCCATTGCAGGACGTGGATGGGCCCTTCGTGTCCCCTCAGACAGCAGCCTTGGAGCACTTAGTTCCGTGTTCCTGTGGGGACAGTGTTTGTGGGGAGGGACAGGTTATTGTGGAGGGGGTGCAGGTCCCAGCTTGGCAGTGTCAAGTGCCCAGGCCAAGCCAGGTTTGCAGCAGCTCTTCTTCT